ATTCTTACAGTATGTGGTCACACCGTTGTCCATATTATTACCCCATGTTGCCATGCTTACGCTTTCATAGTGTCGCCAGAAGTCATCAGAGGCCATGGCTACTCGTTTTCCTGTGACTGGTGGAGCTTGGGCGTTATCATGTTCGAATGCCTGTATGGGTAAGCTTCGGGGCTTTGTATGTCCGGCATGCCGCGTGCTAAGGAATGGACATTCCAGATATCCCCCATTCGTTGGCAACTCCGTAAGCACTCAAATTTCAGCACCCACTTTTCGCACCCCAGTTCATCTGTGGCTGACTGCGGGGGGCAGAGGCATGTCACCCGTCAGAAGATTCTGAACTGGAAGCAATCCCTCAAGTTCCCATCTCACCCTCATGTCTCGGGTGAGGGCATGAATCTGATGCAGCAACTCCTTTGCGAACCCGAGGATCGCCTTGGAAGTCAGGCTCCAACGTCTGTATCGCGTCCAGATTCCCTCGCCGTTCACGCACGACGCAGCGGCTTCATCATGCCAGGGTCGACAGTCGGCAGTGTTGATGGTGTAGATGCAATCAAGGTCTGTGTCACTGGAGCTTGCGTTCGCAGCTGCTGACATCTAGACTTGAAGGCACATAGCTGGTTCCGAGGAATAGACTGGGGAAATATACACCGCCATCCTGCACCATATCGCCCGGATTTGCAGAGCCCAGAAGATACGCAACACTTCGATTCTGATATCCCACCAGTGGTGAGTGCTTCCGAGTCTTCCATCATTATGCGGTGTTTAGTTTGTGCCTAGCCATTGGCTCCCGCGAACGGAGCGCCAGCAGATGTGACGAAAGACCCCCTGCTCAGGGACAGGATCCACGGGGAAGAGATTCTGAGCGTCCGCAAGGCCCTCGCATTTGCGGGGTTCACGCACAAAAGCCCTCGAGCGATCAGTTACGCTCGTGCTGATCGTGCATTTGATGCGGCAACGGACATTCCAGACAAAGAATGGGGCGAACGAGGTCGTCCACGATTTCGCAGCGTACACGAGGCTGGCACAGGCCGGGCTATATCGCTTTAGTCTGATGCATGTTCATGGACCCTGGCTGTGTGGCTGAAATGGTGCCGCAACTTTGCCATGCGGCATAGTCGAGGATATGACGACACATAGTTTACGGATATGACGCGCAGACATGCTTTTACTCCATAATGTGATTACTTACTGTAGTTGATTACTAGGATCTACGGACATGACTATGACATGCACTCACTTCATGACGCTACTCCACTGTACTTGATGACTATGCTATACCCTTGTTTCCTTGCTGTACGCCGCCGGATCTGCCACTGCCGTTAACGGGTGAAGTAAGTCAATCATGTCCTGCCACGAGTCGAACATGACGAAATTACATTTCAATGCCAGAAACCACTATTAATTAAAAGGGAATGGATACACCAAGAGTACACTAGCGACAAATGACTGTATAGAATAATATGAGTGACGAGTATGATGCTCATCAGCGAGTACATGCGATAGTTGTAATAAATAAATGCTCGTAAATTGTTATAAATATGTATCATCACCCCATCATGAACGACCGATGCAATATCCGCGAAAAATGCAACGAAGATCATGAGACCCGAATAGAAGTGATTGCATGCGCCAAATATGCCAGTCCGTGAGGATAACACATGTCGCTCTAACGCCCAGAACGTGAATGTGCGTCGTTTGACTCGTCGCTGTCCTCATGATAGCGCCCTGAGGCATCGGCATGCACGCGAGCATGCCGACGCATGTTGCTGAGCACGCTGAAACTACGTCCACAGCCCTCAAAAGTGCACGTAAAAGCTAGATGGTAAATCAGTATGACGATGAAACGTCGTGGATGGACACTCACGCTTTTCGCCGGTATGGCTATTCAGGTGGATCTTTAGGATGGCGGCCTTCATTAGCCTAGGAATGATGGAGGACATTGGAATACACACCTTCAAACTACTGGGGCGATTGAAACCTTTACCACAATAGTCGCATTCGTATTTGAGCGATGAAGGCCCGGCATTGGCGTGAGGACTTGAGTCTTCTATACTAGATGTGGTCTCTTGCGAGTCTCTACGGTAGTGCTGACCCCGTACATCGGGGTAGCGCGGAACATAAGACGTTGATCCAGGGGTCTCCATCATGGATTGCCCAGGATACTGATGCCTTGAGTAATCCATATAGTTGGGCCCTGGGTGGCTCGTGTAATCATAAGCTGGCCGTCCCTGGCCACTGGTAGTGGATGACCGAGAAAATTGGTTTTGTGGATGCTGAGAATGATACAATGAATGCGGTGGATGTTCATGAGATGGATGAAGGTGTGATGGATGCGTCTCGTGTCGGGAACTACGGGAAGAAATAGGGTGGTAGGGTGTTGAAGGGTTTCTCTGGGAAAGTGATCATTATCAAGGTTTGATCTAGTCATTAGACGACGGCTAACCTGCAAGCCTGGCCCAGATAGGGCATCGGACTGACCCATATGCGGTGTACAGTATGGGTCGTGACTAGGACCCACCCAGGGTGGGGGAGGTATTACGGAAGGTCTTGGAGTACGAGATAATTCTGAAGGCTAAAGGTAAATAAAATGTACGGATGTGGAGAGCTAGAGAAGCTTGACTAACCTGGGAAAAGTTCGCGGACAGAAGGAAGGGTTGGCCGAGGTGCTTCTCGATGGGCATCACTATCCGGGAAAGAGCGGCTAGACATTTTATGGTATGAGATACAAATGGGAAAGTATACGAGAGGATGAGTTGAATTGTAGTGGATGTCGGGGAATCTTATATGGTCGGATCGTCTCTAAACCGCGGTAACGGCAGGATACCGTTGCACGCCGATCTTGATGCGGCGGGTTCGGAAGGCTGGAAAGTACTTGCATGAAGAAACGTGACCGGGCCTATTCCATTATACTGCAGGACAGCACCTCGAGGGCAAACCTGATATTCAACGACATGGTTACCACTCGGTTACCATATTTGAAGTAGGCAACCGTGGTGATTGTCGCTTTAGAGCTGCTGCGCACATATTCACAACACATTTGTGGGAGTCTCATGATGGACTCAAAAGAGCCGTTCGGACGGTGCCAGGGTTGGAGATAGAGCACCGCAATGTCACACACTAAGGGGCGCGAATGCCGCGCATCATCCACGGGGGATGTGCTGTTAGTATATCTTGAATATATATGTACCGTCACTTGCCGCATCTCAGATCAACTACAGCGGATCATTATATTGGGCCCACCCGCGTTTCTCTAAACACACCCCTGCTGAGAGAGATCTAGTGCTTCTTGCTGAATGTCAACGATAGAATCCTCGGGGGTAACATTTCGGTAACGTTGGATCTCAAAATGGCCACAAATCGTTTACTTCAATTTCAACATCTTTGCATCGGGAGGCAGTGCACCATAACCAATCTGGGCCATGCATGCCTAAGCAGGGTTCGCATCTCACTGTGAAGCTCGCACGTTATTTATGAGCAGCCGTCGCTAATGTCGACGGTTCGGGTCAGAGAGCTCACCACAATTCGCCCTGCTCCTCCACATGCACACGATCAGTCGAATAATGTTGTATTTATTCTCTCCCCAGTTAGTTTTCCGCTTGAAATCTTTGTGCTTCCTCCGATGTCTTTGTGTTTAGGGAAAGTGCATGCAACCCTTGAGAAAATTCTTCAGAAAGAGCGGAGTATATCAGGCGATGGCGTTGCACCGTGTTCTGTGAAGCAATAAAGCAGATACACCCGAGATTGGATAGCACACACACCTTCCCCTTGAAAGCATCTGAGATTACCTGCACGGCAAAATCTGCGCCCGGGTCGTCAATGAACAGCGCCTTTGGGGTAGTAGAGCATACTTACGTGTTTCTCCATTCCCGCCACCTTGAGAGCGCATTGCGGCGTGATGTCTATGCAACTGCGATTCGTTGGTAATGATTAGCTTGGACGGTTGGAGTAAGGTCACGAGCTATGAATGATTGCTCAGGAGCCGGATCGACCTGCGCTGCTAGCTTGCTGCCTTACCTTTTCTCGCATGGCGATTTCCACCGGACCTGGAGATCCTAATATTGTGTCTGACGCCATGGCACGAGAAAGATTCAAGCGCTGCCGCAGAGCAATGCGAAGGCTGCGTGTTGCCCAGAGCATAAACCTGCTGGCTACCATGCTGAGATTGGAATCAGAGCTGCGCTGATGCTAACGGGCACTTACCACCAGACTCGGAGCAAGCCTCACAAAAAAGCGGAACGATAAAAATGCGCAGCGTGTTCAAATTGGCAATTGTTGGTCATCGCGTTGGTCAGCAACGTGTGAAATGTCACGGCCTTGAACTACTTGACTTATCATAACTTACTCCTGGTCACCCATGCCTGACTCTTTCTCTCTTTTGCGTAATGGATCACCGAACACGTACACTGCGGTACACGGGCTAAGGCCTTTCAAGTCAGCTGCTATGACTGTTCAAGACGATTTCACAGCCATCGAGTGACTGGCCGCATCAGAAAACCGATGACTTGAAGTGACGACCAAATTTCCCATTAGCTTTCTCAGGAAAGAAATACCTTATGGATAGGCACATACTAATACGCATGAGTCATGGTGGCGGTCCCGAAAGCTCCAAAGATTACAAGCAGTGATGATCATGATGATCAAGAAACAGTTGAAGGTGACTGGTTCTCCCCCAATTGGACATGCATGAACCGCCCCATCCGTTTTGACTGACATCTGCCCTTGCGACGGTATTCATCTTTTCCACGTAGCGTTCGTCTCGAACGCTGTGACTCTGTGCCTTACAGTGACTTAGCATTGATGCATTCCATAGCCCGCTGTGGATGTGTTATTCGTTGAGATGGAATGAAATAAAACTTTTAAGGTTGAAAGTCACGTTATCGGCGCTACTACAGTTATGAATTGTCAACGTATTCACTTCACTACGAACAAGTAATTTACTTGATTACCTTGCCATCATGATGCTCTCGTGCTCCTCGCATCAATGCCCTCAAGAATGTGAGATGACTCGCAATCAGCGCGGTCTAGTAGAAACGTGTTTTGAGGAGGGTCAATACGAGTCTGGCATCGCAGTGCTCGAACAGCTAAGGTCCGAAAACTTCAGGCCACCCGTGTAAGATTATCTAGGTTCTCTTTTCTCGAGGAGCATTGAAAGTAGTTCCTAGGTCTCTCGTACGTCAGCTCCTCTACATCTCACTGTACCCCCCACCACCATCCCTTGATCATGTGGAAGAGCGCGATTTCAATCCCGCTTCACCAACGAAAGGCTCCCCTACAAAATCAAAGCTTCAGGCACCAAAAATGACCTTTATTCCTTCAGTCAATGCATCAGAAGCTGCGCAACGCTTATTATTATCCTTCGTTAGGACAAATACACCTACATCTCTTTTCCAGGCTTTGCCACAACTGCGCAGGAGCAACGAATCGCCATTTGAAGGTGATGATCATGACTCTGTCGTAGCAAAGGAGTCCTTGTGCATCAAGGACGCAAAGCACTGCTGGGCGATACTCAAGGATGGTTTCGTACCGCGAATAAAAATATCTCAGCCGTCCCTAGGAAAGAAGAAACGCGGAAAACTCATCACTGACACTGAAGAATATGCAGAGGAGAAATACAGCAATGCGGTTCTCACTCCTATTGCAGAGTACGCCTGGTTAGTCTTGCAGTGGCTGGTCGAACTTTTTCAGCGAGACGAGTCTTTGGCATCCGGAGATGGTTCCGAGTCAGGTGGGAGGCCATTCTTTACTTGGTAACCCTTTGACTAAGATAATGTATAGTGAAGCATTCACCATTGTTGTTGTTGCAGATTGGCACTGGTCTTCGGTGGGAAGCTGATGCACCCCTAGACATCGTGTTCTATTGTGTTTCGCAAGCTCAGCCCCAACGACGACAGCTGGGTCTCGAACTGATGGCTCTGGTGAATTATGTTTTTCCTATTACATGCTGTTCACCTGACATTCTCTGCAGCTCATCGGGATTTCTCTAACGGCAGAATTTGACTTTAACATGTTTCTTGAACAAGTCACCTCACGACTACACTCAGCCACACCAGAGGTAGTCCAGACTTTCATGTCTGGCTTTCATCTGTCGCATTTAGCACAACTGTTCAAATTGGCGCTCTGCCGTAAATTCCTTTCCGATGAATCCGGTGGGAGAAACCCATCAAGCCGTCGCCCCAAGCCACAAGCGCGAGCTGTGAGAGCAACGCGAGGCATTGCTCCTACGAAAGAGGAGAATCTATCATCATCCAGTGCAAATGACTTGTCAGCCTCCTTTTCTGCGAGTAAAATTTCTATGCCTCCCACCAGTGATATCGTCCACCTTCTTTCAGGGTCTAACGGACGGACTTCTCCTGCAATTCTAACTGTGAAGAAGGAACTTCTCATTTCGTACGCCTACTTGCAACAGATCGCGGAACAACGGGACGTGGAATGGCAACAATTAGCAACAGATGGGCGTCTCGAAGACCAAGTCAATTCGGCGTTCGGTGGAGAGAGCTATGCGCAGCAAGACAGAGACGCTCTAATTAGTCTTGTGAAAGTCTGGGCCATGAATTACCGCGAGTGAGGCACAGGGCAATGTTTTGTGGGCTCTTCCTCTATGGAGCGTGCTATTCGTTGAGTTCTTTTTGCTGTGTGACAATCTAACAATACTCACTCAAGCCGGTAACTAGATTATTCATACCCCCCATGAGGATGGCCAGTGTTGTTTATGCGTCCAGGTTCTAGCCAGTTGGACAAAGTTAACATCGGCGGCCTCAGACTGATGAGATGGATGCAATTCCTGCTCTAATCTTGAGAAGCTTAAATAAAGTATTCTGTCACCAATTTTCTCATGGGTTATCATTTACCAGCACTGGTGATAATTTGTGCAACCGAATTTCTACTTGGGTGTTTGCAGATCTTGGGCAATTCAAATTTCGAAGAACAGGACCCTCATCACACGGACGTGGAATATGACGTATTCATCCGAAATATGTCGACGCGTTAGGATAGCAACAGGATAGAACGTAAGCACATTATTGTATACAAAACATTTCTATTGAGTGTTGTGTGAATGGTTGAAAAGAGTGTGGACGTGAAGTTTCACGCGAAAGCATGCGACGTCGAAGTTCCGGTCCGAGGATTGAGTCACAGCATGAACTCGAGAGATAATATGAGAAGTTTGACATCCAGCCCAGTGGATACCCAAATTCTAGGCCTACACGTTATGAGGTGGCAAATTTGGGAGATAGGGGATAATGTATCAATGTAACGGAGGAACCGTTCGCGTGCGGCAGGGTAGAAACAGGCAGTACGTAAGATGACATGAGTGCATCCAGATTTGCGGGATGTCGAAAAGTATGTGCCGAAACCGGAAATGGTAGAATCCAATTGCGAATGCATCGTCCCTGCAAAGGGTCGCAACCGACAGCTGTGGCAGTTACGGAAGTCGACCATGCTAGGAATGTCAGCGATCTGTTGTAAAAAAGCTTTGCACATACCCGAGGAGGATATAACATCGACTCGGAGATAGTGGAGTATCTCAGGTTAGCCAAGATTTGGGGTAGGGAAGATGAAAGTTCTTTGGGCGTAACTTAGGTTTTGGCAACCATACAGCAGACCGACCGTCAGAGCGGGCGTGTCAAAGCTCTGGGTCACGCCTATGATTAGATGTATTGTGAGCAAGAATATTATTTTCTAGCGATTGCACTGGTCGACCCGTCCTAGGCTGACGTAGCACGTGTACTACGGAGTCAAACGTTGAGGCGTCGAGGAATTCTAGCCGTGACGACATGCTGGTAGCCACTGAAGTGTCGAGCGGTTACTGGAAAGTATTTTATTAGCATAGTTCATCTTCTGGAGGATAGAAGCTCTGACTAGTTCTAATTCAGAGGGAAGCATTAACTTCCGCGTCGTTTCCAGGACGCTACGCCGATTCCGAACCCGGAGCGCAACCCCGTTGGATATTGTCATCCTGCAGTCACTAGGAGATGCAACTGACCAGCGGATAACCTTCGTCCTCACAAATGCATAAATGAGCTGTCAATTCAATGATTATCGCCCACGTAACGTTAGTAAAGTTGGAGAGTCGGAGGCCTTACGAGACACGGAACGCCGCTCGACAAAGTTCAACGTTAGACCTGTTTACTACTAGAAGCACTTGTAGTTGGCCGGTTAGCCTATCTGATCCAAACCTTCGGTGTGTTGGGCAATCCCATTATCTACATATCACACAAACCAAATCTTATTTCACCGAAAATGTGCCGAAACTGTGACATGACGGGCGAACCACCTCTCGACTGAATGGCGTGTTGGAAATGGTCATGGTATGTTGCATATGCTGGCATGGTGTCAAGGTTACTTTCTTCAGGATCTTTTATTGTTCCGATGTTAGACTGTGTGTCGTTTGCCCCGTATGTACTCTATCGTATGATTCATATATGCATAAACGTACAAAGGCTGATCAGCGGCGTGCCATGCGAAATCTGGCAATCAGGGAAAACCTGAATGTTAACCTAAACCGTTTAGGTTCAGAGTCAACCATCTGACTCTTCTGCTCCTCCCTCTGCATCTGACTCTACATCGATTAAATCACCATCGTCAGCGTCCCCCGCAGTGGTCTTGGATTTCCCCTGTTGGTTTTTCCATATCTGAGCCAGAAAATCTGTAGTGCTAGCTTGCTCCGGCGATTTGTCATCTCGGGTCCTGATAAATCGCGGGAACCTTAGACTGAGGCCTCTTGAGTCAACTAGGCCCAGTGCTGCTAGAGATACGGGGCTCAAAGTGATGCTGAATAAATAGGGTGTGAGTAGATATTCGTCTGTGACACTGACGACTTGTAGCAGACTCACTCTGCCCCTCGTATCTCCCACACCTCATGGGGCCTGAAGTAAACGTCGGGCCTGAAGCCTGGAAGCAATCAGCTAGGAACCTTAGTACTCAAAAATAATGTTGGCACCTCCTGTATCACTGTTCCAGAGGGGTTGCTTAGAGCAATTATCGGACCCCTCTGAGTAATGTGCAACCATCTCCTAATACGAAAGTTGCGATAAGCAATCAGCCTGCGAAGACGTACTATACGACAAACTTTGTAAAACGAGTCAGAAAATCCTGCAGTAAATGATAGTTCAACATATCATTATGAATTACAATGCATATCGCTTACCAGACATACACTTGCAAACGGCAACAAAGCAGTCACTCCTAGGATCTCGAACAGCAAGCAAAACTGGACTCCACCATCCTGCTTTCCTTCCGTTCCCATGCCACGCTCCGATAGGAACCATATCGAGGGTATCCCCGAGACCCACGACGTAGTCTTTTTTCAGCTTCAACCAAGCAAATGTTCGTTTGTCTGTCCAGATTCACTAAAAAGCACAGCATGAAGGAACGGGTCAATACACACCGGGTTCGTAAGTCGCGGACAAAGGTTTCCGTTTCCCGTTTCCTTTTCGCGTTCCCTCTTCTTGCATAGTGTCACTACTTAACAGCTAGGTAAGCATCAGTAATGCCGATCAGCCGATCAGAATCTAGACACTGTCTCACCTTAATCATGAGACCCTCAGAGCGGCTCTCTACAGCTTTCTGCCAAAACTCCTCGATAGCATCTTTGCCAGCCTCACTCTCACAGCTTTCAACATGGTCAAGACGACTTGCTCCTTTGTCGCTTGGTAAGAAAGGTGGAAAGCGAGACTTCAGCAGGGATCGCCTCTCTCGAAAGGGCTGCGCAAGTAAGACCTGTTGAGGGACGTGAATAACCATCGATCGTCATCGTCAGCACACAATGAGACGCACACACCTCACCATCTAGATACATCAGATCGAAGGCATACACGCAAACAGAAATTTTGATATCGTTCATTTCCACACCCTTCCTTGCCCTGTTCGAGAGCTCTTGGAATGACTTCAGGCCGCCGTCAGATGAATCTACGGCAACAATCTCAGAGTCGATAATAAAAGATTGCAGCTGCGGCTGCTCTTGAAAAATGCATTTAACAAGGTGAACAATGTCGGGATACTAGTTTTTGCCGGTAAGATAGGAGCCGTATCTACGAAAATGCGCCGCTCACCTTAGTGGTCATATCTTCTAGATGACGGGAGAAAATGTGAATGGAAGGATTGTCATTACCGACTCCTCGTACCCCATGAATCTGAGCGCGTTGACCATCATACTTGAATTCTGCCACAAAGGGGAGATCCCCCAAACGGTCGTATATTTCATCCAAAGATCGAGTGGGAGAACCCAGAGTGGGATGCAAGGGAACTCCTATCAACTGTTTATTAGGTCGTTCATATAGTAGGGGAGCGAAACGCGCACCGACAGTCAAAGGGACATGTAGTTCAAGACTATCCAATCCGCCGTTGAGGAGACCAGCCACAATGTGCTCATAATTCGGATGTTGAACGAACACTTTTTTAACCAGCGCTTCAGCCTGGATGAATTTCTCATGAATCTTCTCACGTTGAACCAAGGAGATTGATTGTGAGGTGGCATGGTATGGCGAATGATCACGATCAGGACTTCCCAGACTAGATTGCGATGTCAAAACTAGCGCTCTTGCCAGTGCAGTCAGAATGGAGGTCCTGACTGCTCCGACGCGTAGATTCAGCGACAAGGTACGGACAAGGTAGCGTGACTCTTCTCCTTTGGCTGCTACGAGGAGTTTCTCGACGATGGCTTGCTTCTGTTTGGCTGCGCCTTGTCCCTTAGAGTTGGCAATTTTCAATAAGCATTCATACACAGCCACGATGATCAGTGGAGGATGGGGCACCAAGGTGCGAACATTTGACTTTGCTTCAAATGCAACATCACCGGGGTCGCCGAATGAATTGTAGAGCCGCCTAAGCGCAGAGGAAGTCAGGCCGGATATATGCTGAATTGCCTTGGATATAACCGAAGAGCCAATACCTAGCTCGACCGGAGAATATGGAGGAGACAGGCAATTAGAAAGGAGGTATAGCGATGGCAGTAGGGATGGCCGATGCCAATTGAGCAAAGTCCTCAGCGTGTTGGTAAGGGTGTTGAGAATGATTGTCCTAGATCGTGTTCCCGATAGCGTGGTGAGGGCATGAACGAGAAACGAATATGGTGCTGGCGCATTGGCTGGCCAGGGACTTTCCTGAACATCATAGACAAAAGGGTCGACTCCTAGTGGCTGGTAATTTGGCAAGGGAGCGATGTCATTTTTCATGGGAACCCGCCTTGAAGGCGTATTAGAACTAATCGGTAGGACAACCCCTGACGAACCACCAACATCGCCGACTTGGGGAGCTGCGGCAGCCGCCTGAGGTTGAGCCTGAGCCTGAGAAAGACCATTGTCAGATCCACAATCTCTGAACGTAGGTTCAGAATCCGAAGTTAGGTCAATGATGTCTAGAGTATCGATCTTCTTTGCATTCAGTTGTTTCCGTACTGGTTGTGTGACACTATTCGTTTCCTTCTCTGCCCCAGAATTAACCTGAGGCTTAAACCTTTGGGAAGATCCAAAAAAAGTCTTTAACGATGGCTGATTTGAGTCGAATTTTGCTCGCTTCAAGGGCTGAGAGGTTGATGGCGACGCCGCTTGGGAGCGTTTAGACATTGCGGTTGTAGCCGTTGTAAGCTTGAATCAAGTTGGTTGAATGCGCGGCATGACGTTCGATTGACATCCGACAAGTAATTTAATTTCCGACGTCGAATTTGTTCAAATACGATTATTGTCACCTGTCAATTTCAGTCCTCCCTGCATTTTGTGATGGGCGGGCCTCCTGCATTGCCACCCATGACACGGCGATCATCGGTCTTTCTTTCACATAACTCCATCTTTCAAGATTTTATCAGTCTGAAATAATATGACCACTAGGTATGAACCTCCTCAGGAGGTACGTCCAGGGTCAAAAAGTGTGACTCCGAGCTAGTTCGATTCAACCGGTCTCTTTAAACCCTGGCATGGACCCCAAGGACGTCGGCGGCTACGTAAGTCGAATAACTCTTTGCTCTTTTTTTCCCTGGTTGTCAGCCACCACCGTACGTGTGTGTAAACGTGCACGTGCACTCGAACTATATCCCTGCTGCTGTCAACTACAACCTCCTGTCGCTCGCGGCAGCATCCTGCAGCTATGGCGCGGCACTGCCATCGACACACCTGCACCCTAGAGCAACCTTTCGCTACACACTCAGCCCAAGACCCTTCCCCAACCGGGACCTTCCTCGTCCTTGCGCTAATCTAGTGCTACCGCCATGGCCTGCCGATTCCCCTGCACTTCCATAGCCACCACGCTTCAAGGGCAATGATCTGCAGCCTATCACTACCTAACACGTCAATGTAGACCCTTGCTCGCCTCCCATGAACCTGGTGTTGCGCACCCGACCACGACCTTTCCCGTGCTATCAGTAACCTACCTCTGCTGCCGCGACCTACCACAGTCTCCCGCTGTCCACTTGGACCTCCCACACATTGTCATTCTCCGCGCTTCGCATGGCCGCCTGTGATATCTCGTTCTTTCCCTGGTCGGAATCCTGCCTGGTGCTGCGCTCTTCATCTCATTTTCTTCACACATCCCATACCTATATATCTACATTTGATCTATCTTATTACATCTGGCGTGTCAATTGGTTAGACTATTTTTCTTTGAATCTAATGATATCCTTAACTGAAGCATTGAATGCTTGGTTGGTAAGCACTACTTGAACGACACATTCTTCACCACGGAATGAGCTTGAATTTATAGTTAAGCAGGTATATATATCATGTATAGCAACTTATTAAAAAGCAATAGACGACACCACATGGGAGAGGGATGACAAGGCGGAAGGGTAGCCACGCATGCTGCAGGAGGAATTTGGCGAAGTGGGGGGCCAAATATGTCTGTCAAGCCCGTTGGGACAATGCCATGATAAATGGGTCGGTGGAGCTTGCTGCTGCTAGACAGATGACGAGGCAAAAGAAAGAAATGGCTGTTGTTGGGGTAGCAGATGCTGTCAAGTATACCTCAAAGCGAATGTGGAGTGTCCTGGGGTCTTGAACCCTGAATAGTTGTTCGGAGGGAACCGAGCTAGCTCGGAATCATAAATGATGGGTCCACATAGTTGGCCCTGCATAGTCCGACCTCTTCGCGCCACGATGTCACCATCCATGCGCTAAATTCGGAGGGTCTTTGTGGTTGGGATATGAAAGACCACATTAGCAAATTATTACATCTGGTCCATGTCTGGTGCCTGGTCATTATCACAAACCTGGTGAGAAGAGGCCCTTCAAGTTGTGCAAATATGGTGCTATGAAACTTAGGGTCCGTGAACGTGCGCGGAGCTAGAATTCCAAGGGTCTGGGTCTATCTTGAATTCATGGCATTGGGTCTCGAGAGTACAGTGGCCCATCAACAGAGTGGACCACGGCCCGATTATTTGGAGCTGGGAATATCGTCGAGATTAGAACAGGGCTATGTTATGACATCTGATGAATAATACTCAGAATCAGCGAATCCGAAAGTGCAATGGATTGACCACCAATCTCAGAGGACGGAAGCAGAACGGGACTCCATAAGTCGCCGGTTTCAAAGAGCAAATAAGGTTGAAAGGTCACTCAGGACGTCCCTTGAGTTGCTGCTATTAGTACATCCCTGGCAGCCAGCCATCGTGGGCGACCCCACAGCTCCATGGGTCAGACAGTGCACCTGATTAATCCTGCAGATTCCGGGCTTCGCAAATGAAGCTTGGCAAAGCCGGATGATTCTAAGTTTGGTTAGACAGGCATCATTCAGGTATCTCCAGAGCCTGAGAGCCGTTTCAGGACAGTAACCTTACTGTCAGGCACGCAAAGAGCGTCAATCTTGCCTGTACAGACGTAGCAAGATCTGTGAGGACCATAATTACGCCGTTAGGTCTCTGTCACCGACGGAGACGCGGCAATTGTGTTACCGTACACTCACATATTTGGGCGGCTCTGAAAATGCATATCAACCCTGTCCTTGTCATAACATTTACCCCAGATTGAATCCTGCCCTACCAAGCACGAACATCATGAGCGACCGCCACAACTACCCATACCACCCCAATCAGCCACCACGTCTCCCTAATCAGCCACCGCGGGGCAGCCACTGGCTACCCAGCGGTCAGCAGCAGCAGCCCCCTCACCAATCATCTTCCTATCAACAAGTTCAGCGTGGCTTCCCAGCGGCACAGAGCAACTATATGTCCACGCACCCTGCCTCATCTCCACCGTATGCAATGCCTACCATGCCACCGTCAAGCGCACACTACACAGCAAATAATCATGCCGCTGCACCATCACAACCCTATCCCCCAAATGCTGCCGTCAGTCCATACAATCAACAGATGTATCCACCACATGAATACCCTGTGCGCCAGCCGGCTCATTCGCCAAATCAGATATATCAACCAGCGGGACCTTCGCGCAGCCACACAATACCGAACGTCACGCAACCATACGTCATTGATGGACCGCCAATAGCGCCAGCAGTACAGTATCCAGCATCCCCTACACGACCATTCTCCTGTGACATGTGTGCGCTGTCATTTAACCGGCAACATGATTTAAAGCGACACCGAGATACACACTCGGGAGAGAAACCGTTTTTGTGCAATGGAGGCTGCGGAAAGACATTTACGAGGAAAGATGCACTGAAAAGGCACCAGGTACCATTGAATTTGTCCCCCTAGAAGATCATGATCTCATTGATTTGATCAGCTTGTGAAGCATTGTGGATATGATGAAGATGCAAATTGAAATGGCGTTGTTTGTTAGTAACTTGCTCTGCGCCGTGTTGCAAAGCTAACTTGATGATATAGAATTATCAATCGCTCGATTGCAATTTACTCCACATACTAATATCATATTCAACATTGATGCAGGAAGTTTGTACCGGAAGGAATGATTGGCATAGCGAAACTGCAATGTAACACGTTAACATATTTATGCGTCCATTAAATGAAAGTTACCATTCGCAGCATCGCAGCAGTGGTTGCAATTTCACAATTGAGGCTTCTCCTGGTCCTGTTTGTCTTCAGATTCAATGATCCTCTCTAATATCCACGCATCACGTGGCATAATCTTCTTGTAATAGTCCTCTTTGATGCCCACTTCTTTGAAGCCATGTTTCTCGTAGAACCTCTTGGCATCAGTGTTTGAGACTTGTACGTGAAGGTATATACGTCTGATTTTGGGTTTGGAATGAGAAGCAGCAGCCTTGATGACGCGTTTCAGGGCCTGAGAACCAAGTTGCTTGGAGCGATATGGCTAGAAAGGTTGGCACATTTGCCACGACTGACAGCGGGATAACTTACTGCCAGGACGCCCATGGTCATGAGATACAGATCTTTGTTCTCCAATCTGCAGCAGATGTTGCCCACAGGGACATCGTTATAATAGACTTAAAAAAATTAGACTAGTCTGTAAACGCTTTTAAGAATAACACGCACTGAGCTGGCAGAAGTCTTCGACTTCGGGAGCTATGATATCCTGGTAGAACTTGTCGCTGTACTTGATGGGAAACAGGACCGAATTCAGTTTCTTGACAGTCCCAAGGTTTCTATGAGTCAAGCAGGCAAAAGTGACACGTGAAGACGAAGACGAAGCGGGTGGATTTGACATGATTATTTTGATTGGGCTTCAAGTCCTACTGAGTTGTTGGGACCAAAGTAACTCATCCGTGGGAATATTCCTCAATTAAGATTCATGCTCAACCTTAAAGCAGTTCTACTATCTATACTTGACTAAATTTTGCTCTGTACCCTTGTGGTCCCCATAACACGTTTCCGGACTTAGAGTCACGCAAGCATTCTTGGTGTATATACAAATTGCCGATGAGCCATCCTGAGCCAATTGTCGTCTGACTTGCTTGACACCGGACATTTACGAACACGTCAAGGCTCACCGTGCAGGGTTTCATGATGATGCTGATGATGCCTTGAACCCTCTGAATAAGCAGGACAGGCTTCTGGAAATAGGCACTCATATACGTTTGCGCTCAGAGTCAAGTTCATTCCGTATGTACATATTCATTAACTAAATATTTTGAACTGACTTAACAACCCATATTCTGCGCCCACTGTCTCAATACACTCATGTTTTTTGCAATCCCTTCGTCTTGACGGCAAGTGTAACGTTGTCATGGGATTGGATCAGCTGCGTATTCTTGCCAGATTAGAGAAGCGCAGCAAAAACAGTGCACGGTCAGAAACTTCTGCGTTTGGTCATGTCTCGTACAAATTATAGCTCCATGAGTCTATGACCCTCGGGATTAATGAAACTCCATAGCGCTGTATCACTTTGCCCTGTCATTATGTCGGTTTCAAGTTCCCTTTCTGTTCCGTCATTTCAGCCAATTGATTGTAGCTATCCATCTCTCTGGTTTCGCTCTCATGCCTTTACGTCCACTGAGTCCAGACATAACTTATATTATAAAACAGGCACATTGCCGCCGGCTTATCAGCTGCAGCATGCACATAGCTCATTATAGGATGACATGCTCCGAACATCAGAGCTAGAACCTTGCATCCATCTGCTCCCGCATCCCTTTATTATCATCCTGCGATGAGTTTTCCTTGCTGACCGCAGGAATTTTCATGACGGAGCCCCTTTTCCAAGTCAGCGATTTCCGCACATTTTGCTTTGTGGCGCCTGGCCACTAGCCCCCATTTTGAGCATTTGTCTTCCTTGGCGTTAACACACTGCCTCGTCTAGGCCCTGATGACAGGTGATTTTACTTATCTCTGAACGCTGGAGATAACTGGGAGCACTAGTCTGTCACCGATAACGCAGTAGTTCGGACGGTTTTCTTCTAGTCCAGCCGTGCGGTTCTTTGCACGGACGGGCCAACATGTCCTTCTGCTTCCAACTGAATATGGTGCACCCTTACTGAGTGCAATATTAGAGAACCATCTAGGTATGATAAGTTTTCAAACGGGTACATTCTGATAGCAAAAATTGTTCATGCAGCCTATCGCAATTTTCAAAGATCTAGAATGACGTTTCTATCACACGCAACATCGGAACTTGTCATTCTTCATAATGCAGCAGACACCAGGAATGGTATGGTGTGATCATGAGCGCAAAATACAGTTTATGGCTACATGTGTAGATTGCCGATCAAGTATGGACTGGGAATGGTCGCCCACCGACTTGGGACCACGCTTGCCTTCTTTCATCGACGTTTCGATCTGATACACACTGGCGACTACCTCCCAACAGTTCTGCGTTAGAAGCAAAAGTCCCTGGAAGATATAAGATGATCAACATCCTTGAAATTGCACGGTGCGTAGTCCGATGGTGTATATGAGATACAGTAGTGGTACAAATGCAACTTTTGTGTGTGGACAGAAGGTAAATATAAATATCTTTATATATATAAAACCTCGTGCTAAGGGAGACTTGATCGATGTGACGATCAGTGAAGATTTATGGGAGAGTCGGGTACGTTTGCACGACGTTTTCGAGGAAGACGATGTAGTTGATCAATATAGACGTCATCATAGCTGCGAAAAACGCATGTGCCATGGTCATGATCCGTCAGGGTGGCCCATACGCAATGCCACATTTGGTCTTCTTTGAAGCGAAATGCGACTCCGGTATGATTCTGGTCCCACCGTTGTTCTCTCTCTCTCGACTCGAATGCCTTGTCTGTCAAGGTTATCAGAGCGCAATCTTTGATTGTCCACTCTACGTGGGCTTGCCCTGTTGCGAGAAGCTGCTCTAGAGACGAGTCCATTTCAAGTTCTTTCGGGAGACCTCTGCCAGGTACATTGTTGAGGATTTTTTTGTCACGAGCGGAGGTAAATAGACACACCTATGAACAGGATCATAACCATCAACAAGAATTTGAAATGTGGTATTGTCCGAGAAGTTCAGGGTTAAAGTAGGATGTTTTGAAGAACGACTGAGTTTCGTTAGTACCTTGCCGACTAAAAGGCTCGGATCGACTCCAAGGCTTTGTAGCCGTAAGGGTACTGGACGACAGCGAGATTTCGAGGGAGATGGCAGGGGGGGAGTACATAAGGCTGTGCCTTGGTCCGCCATTTTTACTGCGATACAATTTTGTCCAGAATGCTGCAGGGTCTTATACCGTCGTCACTGTGGACGATGACAATGGCATCCACATGTGATGTGTCCACATGCGATTGATCGATAAACATTACCCACAAGCGAGAATAAAAATGATAAAAAGATGACACTGACGAGATTCGAACTCGCGAGGTTTCCCATCACGGATTGGTGCTTGACCTAAACGTGACGCCGTAACCACTTGGCTACAGTGCCATGTCTAATATGTTTCCCATACAGCATATTGAAGGTTGCATAGTTGCGTTGGGCATCTAGTTGAGCTTGCTTCCTTCTCACTACGCTTTGTTAGTGCGTCGTATTGTCATCACTCAGCAATGCATCAAACGCATTCTCGTCCTATCGGACCACGTACCCTACTTCGCTCACAATCGCCACTACCACCGCTAATTCTAACAGAGACTCGACCATTGGCAATTCGCAAAATATCCCATGATCAGCCTACTTCATCTGCTTCATCATCTCCCCCATTGGGCTCTTCTCCAGGTCCATCGCGTCCTCAGATTCCTGGAGCTCTTGCTCCAGGCCCAAGGCCCAATCAAAAGCCCAAGCTTCATCTGCCAATCGCGCTTGATGGTGGTAGTAGCAATGCAGGTTATTATGAAGGTCCTGCATACATCCCACCTGGATTGGATGGTGAGAACCCAGGCAACGCAACAGTCCGGCCTTTCTTGACTTTGCAAACACCACGTCCTCCCGAGCCTATCGATGGTAGCGATAACAGCATTGCTCAGCTAATTGCTGAATTTGACAGGACTACTATCGAGTCCTATACCTATACACCTGCGGAAGAGGCTTCGACCAATTATGGCTCTAATAAATGGTCGGATGGTGTTTTAGAAGTCCTTTCGCGACTTGGCGAAGGTCAGGGTGGAGCTGTCCATAAAGTCAGGGATCGGCGTAACAACTTCATCTTGGCCCGCAAGACAATTACTACTCGTGAGGCGCCTTTAAAACAGCTCGAACGCGAGTTGTCGATCTCTGCGACGTCCAAACATCACAACATAATCCGTTTCTATGGCGCCTATATGTCACCATCGTCTAGTGAAGTCAAAGTCATGATGGAATACGGTGCTGGCGGTAGCTTGGAAGCTATTGGAAAGCGAATCAAAGAGAAGAATGCACGTGTCAGCGAAAAAGTCGCTGGACGTATAGCCGAGGGGGTAATTACTGAAACTTCTTTTGATTTAGCTATATTCATTTATTCACCAGGTTTTGCAAGGCCTGAATTATCTTCATTCACTCAAAACCATTCATCGGGACATCAAACCATCCAACATCCTGCTAACTGGTGAGGGTGTCGTTCGTCTTTGTGATTTTGGTGTCTCCGGAGAGCTTGTCCGCTCAATGGCCGGAACCTTCACTGGCACCAGTTTCTACATGGCTGTACGTCCGTTCCTTGATTATGCATCCATCACCATTGATGGTCACTATAGCCGGAACGCATCAGCGGAAAGGAATATAGCATCCGAGCTGACGTGTGGTCTACTGGAATCACCCTCTTGGAACTTGTACAGAATCGATACCCATTTCCCGAAGATCTTACTTCCATTGAACTGATTGTCTATATTACCCAGGGACAGGTGGGTACTTAGAGCCTGTTGTTAAATCTTGCTTACATCAGAATTATTCTTTAGCCACCTCAACTGACCGACGAGGAAGGTGATGGCATTATATGGAGTGATGAGATGAAAGACTTTATTCGACAGACGTAAGCTCTTGTCCAGTCTCCTTTTAAATATCTTCGTACCAACCTTTGCCGCAGTTTGATTATTGACCACCAAACTCGCCCTACCCCAGGAGGAATGTTGTCTCATCCTTGGATCACCACCGTCATGAAGCGAGAAGTGCCTATGGCTCGCTGGATCAGTCAAGTTTGGGACTGGCCTAAACCAACTAGAGAAGCGTAAGATTGTTTGACCTAGGTACTGATGATTACTGACACCGATTTGCAAGCAATTCGAGACCACCTTCAAGCCGCGGTGCTGTTGACAGAACACCATAGATTCTTTGTTTTCACTCAAAATGCTTCGTTGTTATCTCGATATATCTTGTTTCTTCATCGCATCTCCTTCGTCATGTGCCTATTTTGTACACACTTTCACTGCTCTCTGTACATCTTTCCATCATATGGCTACTATACCATCGCACAGCACAGAAAGGAACGGACTCCGATTACATGCTTGATTGATGTTGTATATTTGTGTTATTAATTCATGTGCACATTGTAGCGCAAACTTAAAGTTCCCCAACATTGTCTCCTTCGTAAGCAAACGACCTTCAATTTGGACACATGCTTAGTACCATCTATCAGCCGAGTGTGCTGGTTGCAAACGCTTGCCATGCTCTATGTGTGCACTCGTTCGCGACTTACTTTCTGTTTCTTTACTCCTCTTCCGAGGCCCAGTTATGTCAGATGCCGACCTACTGTTTCACTGTAAAACTCAGAGACGTTCACATTCCTTTGTTCGCAAACCATCAAATGGCTAGGTTCTAGGCGGGCCTTGCTGTGCAATGTCCCTTAACTCGTCCTGGTCATGCGTGTGCCAGTGGTATTTAGGTTCAGAACGAGCTGGCGCCAGACCTGGCAGATTGGCATTAGCGAGGGACGGCCAGCGAAGTATATATAGTATGACGTTTAGCTTCATTTGCGTGTCAGCGACTCAGGTGGGTCTTTTTCATTTGTAGGATCATGCTATTGAAAGCGCGATTCAGATTAGGCTTAACTCGAACGATCCGGGTCCCGTCAACCTGTTCCGCCTCGTCATCAACATCCAGAGCTTTTTCTAGTCTGTGGAAAATCTTTCGTATTTCTTCCGAGACAGGTTCTGCGAGCGTCATTGTTTCTGTTGGCTTACTTCAAAGTGTGGACCCATTTGTAACCTCGTGTTCTTCGTTCTGATGTCTTCCCGAAGGCACTCATTGACATGTTCGTCATCCTGATAGTCTGTTAAGACAACCAGACAAATGAATGTGACAGGTACCCAGCTCTCTGTCCATTCCGACTTTCGTTCGAAGGATGGAGTCCTCGGATATGCATATCATTTCCAAGTGAGTTTCTTACGGAGAGCAAAGATTTCACTTGGAAAGTGACACAGCGCGTGCGGTCTATGAGGGCAAACTGCTAGGGATGATTCTGGCAGTACAGTTTGGTAAAAGAAGAAACAGAAGTGAGAGCAGGGAAAGCATGCACCATGGCCCTAGGGTCAACAGCCAAGCTGCTATCATGTCTACGAGCCTCTCAGTCGAAGCCCGATCATCACCTCATTGACGCGTTTCATGGCAATTTGCGGACGATTTTACTAGAAGAGGGCGGGAGACAGATGATAATCAGATGGTCAGCAGGGCACATTGGAATCCCAGGCAACAAGGCCGCAAACGCACGGGTCAAGAGAGCAGCGCGGGGAAAGTCTTCAGCAACACGTTCACTTACCGAGATCACTCCTGACAAAAGGACGCACCAGCGCAACACTTCCCACCAGCAAATCCATACTCAAACAACTCTTCGACGACGATATCAAGAACAAAGCGCGAGAAGTTCTGCGTAAATTTTCGCGTTACCCAAAGCTCCAAAGCATAACGTGACCCCTCTTTCAAAGCAATTTGCTACTATCATCAACGAACTCCCCTGTCGACTCAGATCAAACTTTTTCTAACTTAGAACCGGCCATGTTCCTTTGGACAAGCACCTTCACCATACATCGAAGCTCCCACCCCCCATATGCTCATTCATGCCATCAGAAGGAGGATTGAGTACATTATTTCATCTTGGAGTGCCCTGCCTTCATCCATCCTTGCAACATCATGAGAATGTCTCTAGGCACATGCATATGCCAGTGGACTCTCAAGAATCGGCTCAACAACCGAAAGTGCAACTCACCCTCGTAGCTTAAAGCAAGCCTTTCGAGACCACTTTCAGCAACGAACCCCACACGCAGATTGCAGAGAAGAAAGACGACCCAAAGCCCACCCTCACTAGTCAGCACCCCAAAATGCCTTCAGACGGTAATCAACGTCCTCGTCTTTTCCGGGACCATTATTCAAAAAAGTTTATTACACATTTAGACTACTATACGCACGGCTTAGCCCCGACGGGCAATAAACCACGAACTCAAAAAAATGATTTGGGATCCTTACAAAAGCGAGCAAGCTAATACAGCTACCGATGGCCTTCACTTGATATGGCCTAGTGGTGAGTGTAATTGTGAAGGTTGTTTGTCGTACAAACTAGTATTTTGCAGGCGAGGAAGGGTAGTCCGCGAGGCACAAGATTTAATCCCTCAAAAAACGAATATCAGGCTTGTCTTGAAGGCAAAATAGAAGAATTTTTTTTCGACACGAAGAGAATCATCCATTGTGCTGGAAAAGCCACCGTCAACTCTCGGATATCCTTTTTCAATATTAAGCCATCCAAATGGTCTACATTGAAAAGCAACCTATCGGAGGGAATTATCCTATTATGTTCGTCTCCTGACAAGCTCTACATACATATGGTTTCCTGACGGAAAATCACAGAAAAACACCTCATATCAAACGTCCGCAGTCATCTCGTCGCTGGTAGACTGTTGCGCTCCCACTGAGATATGCTATTTTCTTTCGACAGGCGACGAACATATCATCAACGGATTCCCCGGACTTAGAAAAGGTAGTTGGGAAACATCGTAACGATCGCCAGACTACAGCTGTCACAGTAGGCATGTTGTAGGATCTTGATGCGGAGGTGCCCTCGTGCAGTTTGTGTGAGTAGTGAGAACGAGAAAATTGTATGCTTGATTGCAAACAGATAGTTTTTTTTTCGGGCAGATACCTGGCAGGGGCATCTCGGCCTCGATAGTGAACCCTGTGCAAAGTCAGCCGAGATGAGCTGCAATTCCTACTCCAGCAGGAGTGAATACGACGAAGCGAAGTGAACCTTGAATCCCATCATAGGAGCCGCAAAGCGACAGTATCGGGATAAGGGAACAGTCCAGAACAGAGGTAGTAAGAAAGTGTCCACATGAGCTTAGTGCGGGAATTCACATGCGAACGATAGCAGGTGTCGACAAGCACGGTACTCTCGCTCATCACTGGTAGAAGGTACCATTGAGTGAATGTTTCCTCCACTTATCAGGTTCTCTGGGGAGAAACCTGACGAGAGTTCACGACACTGAACGTCC